GGATAAAAGTAGAAATTACAAAATAAGAATAAGTTCATCCAAATATTTACCATGCTCTAGGCCCATGCTAGGAAACAAATTGTGACAGAAAAAAAAAAAAAGTCCTCATTCATGAGAATTTATAACATACTGCAGCGGATCTGAACCCTGACTGCATTTTAGAATAATCCGAGAGCTTTAAGAAAATACTGAAGCCTGAGTTCATCCTCAGAGTTTCTTATTTAATTGGTCTGAGGTGAGTCCCAAGCTTTAGATTATTTGCAGCTATTTAGTGGTTTCTAACGTGCTGCAGAAAGGAGTCCTGCTGGTGCAGTGGTTAAGTGCCCAGCTGCTAACTGAAAAGTCTGCGTTTCGAATCCACTAGCTGCTTCACGAAAGATGTGGTAGTCTGCTTCCATAAAGATTTACAGCCTTGGAAACCCTATGGGCAGTTCTGCTTTGCCCTATAGGGTTGCTATGAGTTGGAATTGACTTGATGGGAATGAGTTTGGGTGGGTAATGTGCAGAGTACTGAGAACCAGTGGGTCTCCAGAATTAAGAAAGTATTTTTAAAAATACAATTATATAAATGTGTGTTAGATGGTGTGAAGGGTTACACAAGATGCAATAGAAGCACAAATCTGAGGCATCTCATCAGCACAGGTGGGATCAGGAACAGCTACTCAGAGGAAGCGGCATTTAAACTTAAACAGGAAGAAGGCACGGTAGTCATCCAGGAATAGCAAAAACCCCAAGTGAAGGCTAGGATGAAAGGGAGTCAACTGTCTTCAAAAAACGGAGAGTTTCAGTATAACTGAAGCACAGATAGCAAGAAAGTTGCAAAAGGTGAGTCTAGAGAGGTAAGCAAGGAGTAAATCATGAAGCGGCTGGTAGGCTATCTTAAGGAATTTGGTCTCTATGCAAAGATCAATGGGATGCTACTGAAGGGTTTTAAGCAGGAGACTGACTCCAGACTGGCATTTTACAAGGACCTCTCTGGCTGCAATGCTGAGAAGAGTACATAATCCGAGGTTAAGAACTGAATAGACAGATGTTATTGTTAACATGACCAAGGACAATGGTGATGGCCTGGTCTCTGGTAACAGCAGTGGGAATGGTGAGAAACACAAGGATTTGAGAGTCATTTAGGAGAAGATTCAAGTGGACAAGGGAACAAAGGACAAAGGAGTCAAGGATTGCTTACAAATTTCAGACTTGGGCAAGTAGGTGGATGAGATAGGGATTTGTGATTCAAAGCTAATAATAATCCTAAAAATAGCTAACATTTATTGAGAGCTTACCAGGGGTTTGGCATTATGTTAAGCTCTTTATAGTAATTTTCTTATTTAATCATCTAAACATCCCTTTGAGATAGAGTCTATAATAATCCTCAAGGTAGAGAGGACTGAAGATTTGAAAGGTTCTTGTTCAAGTTCATATAACCATAAATGGCAGAGCCAAGATTAGAACTATGATTTATGCTTTGAGCCACTACCCTACACTGCTTCTCACTGAGGAATATAATAAGTAAGAAACAGCTGCAATGATGTGGTAACACTACAACTAAAAAATTGAAACAACAAATGGGACTAGATTTTTTTTTTTTATTCTTGCTTGAAACTGGTATCACATTTACTAACTTGGCTATAGATCAGATGTCTATATAATTATCGAATCTAGTGAGGAGTTTACTCTTGAGGTCTGTACTCCCTACAATCTATACTTAGTAGAAATTACCCAAAACTGCACATATACAATCCATGGATTTATACAGAAGCAATTGCCCTTTAAATTCCATCTGTTTAAGTTGATACAGAGCTAATAAAATTGTTCAAAATTTAGATTTATAAATTGCACCAAGACTGAGATGAGTTTACATATTTTACATCAAATGCGGTTAGGTTAAGCGATATTTTTTTACTTTCCTTTACTCTCTGAAATTTTCTATAATGAATGTTTACTTTTATAATAGAAAAATAAATTATAAATTTTAAAAGACCTTCATTAGGGATTATCAATAGCATTATTGACATAATTAAGAAAATAAACATAAATAATATGGTAAATTAGTTGTAGAGACAGAAATAACTCACAGCTGATTCGTCTTTGTCTCAATGAGCTTTTGAATGCTGAAATCACTAGAAAATGAGAAAATCTTTGTGCCACATCCTCCCCACATTATGTTTTTTTCAGCTGAATTCATGGATTCACTCAAACACATCAGCGGAGTGCTGACATTTCCTATATTTAGTATCTTCAAAGGAGCAACTCCTTTACACTTTGCCAAAAAGAGAAAACACACTCTTAGCAAAATGAATAGCTGTATAAATGTAAACACTGTATAAATTACTTTTTAAAAACTACTTTCTCATTTTAAACGATTGAACCAAAACAAAAGAAAAAACCAAACCCATTGTCGTCGAGTTGAATTCTGACTCATAACGACCCTATAAGACAGAGTAGAACTGTCCCATAGGGTTTCCAAGGAGCAGCTGGTGGATTCACACTGCTGACATTTTGGTTAACAGCCATAGCTCTTAACCACTATGCCACCAGGACTCCTTTAAATGATTAGATATGTTAAAATAAAAATTTGGGATACACTTTTTAAAGGTTCTGCAAAACTGGATTCATTCAAGTGGGATTCAAAATATTATCCCATAACCAACCTCTTCAGTTCTCCATGTAAAAAAAAAAAAAAAATGGTACAGAGAATAACCTAGGGATTACTCTCTACTTCTCTGTCTTCGATAGACAATGGCTTTTTGATAGCAAGCCATATGTATGGTAGGATATAGAATAAATGGACTAACCAACGGCTGAATGAATGGATGAATGCCTGAATGACTAAGGAGAATCTGAAGAAGGGAGAAGTTAAAATATTTGTTCATTTCAGGCTAAAGAAAAAGTTAGTGGCAAGCCAGATTTAAAATTTAACTTCTTCTTTGCCACAGCATATTTCTAAGGAATTATGTACTTCACAAAGGTACCTGGGTGGCGCAAATGGTTTGCACTTGACTACTAACCTAAAGGTTGGTAGTTGGAACCCACCCAGTGATGTCACGTAAGAAAGGCCTGGAGATCTGCTTCTGTAAAGATTACAACCTAAAAAAACTCTATGGAACAGTTCTACTCTGTAACACAGGGGGTCACCATGAGTCGGAATCGACTCAACGGCAATGGGTTTGGTTTTTTTGGTATGTATTCGTATGTGCAAAAACTGAATTATTCTCATTCCTAACTTTATAAATCAGATCTCATTTGTCATTTTGTCCTTAGTTCATTCAGATGAAATATATGGCAATCAGTAAGTACTTACTGAGAATCTACTGTGTATAAGACTTTATGAACCAATAGAAAGATTAAAAGCAGAATTTATGATCCATGCTCTCAAGGAGCTTATAACTGTATACGAGGGGGATGAACATATATAAAACAAAGGAATTAAAATAAATTGTGCTGTAGAATGTATTCAATATTTACCTTAACAGCTTTATCTTCAAAAATTGCTAAATTTCCATCAGCAGTTCCCACCAAAAGGAAATTTTTTTGTTTGCTAAAAGGAAAAATTTTAAATTGTTACAAAGGGAACATTTATATTCAAATAATTTCAACTCTAAAACTGCCAGTGGAGTTTATGTTTCCAGCTGCCAAAAATTTGGGCTGGACATTTTTTTTGATATGTTTTTCCAGTACTGACAACTGAGACAAGCATACAGGGTATAATCATAACAGCTGCTGGAAACTATCCTTTCCCAAATAATACAGCAAGCAACCCATTAGTCATGTCTGACATTCTGCCATTTAGGTAAATTCCTTTGGGATAAGATCCCTGCAACCGAAAAAGGTTAAGTCATTTTCAAACTATTAACTTATAAATTAGTTTACTGGATTTTTTCCCAATTTGGTAGTTAACTGATGTTTAAGCATCCCACAAACAGGCTATTGAGATGTATGTATTCAAAGAAAATGAATAAGAAATCATTTTCAAAGAAGTCCTACAAAGGTAAGTTGACATGAGGATAGGTAAAGAGATACAGCCATGGCTGATGTGATACCAGGACAGGGCTGGAGGGCCTAAAGAAATGGTTGACCTATTTTATAATTTTGCCTTAGCCAGACATGTCTACGAAAAAATAAACATCTTTGTGACCTCCCGCAATTCCCTCTGATATATGGAAACCAATAGAAATAAGTTAAAAATGAGCAATCTTTTCTGGCACAATAACAATACTGCATACAATTAAGTCATCTAAATGATATCTACTCTTCCCTTATGGATCAAATTCATCTCTGTACCTTTGCTTGGAAAACGAATTGCAATACAAACAAGTAACAGAATCAGTCATCTTTTCAAGTGTATGCCTCCTTTTCCCATCTTCAGTATTGATGACCAGGAGATTGCCAGACTGTGTTCCAGACACAATCCAGCTTTCCTTTTCAACAGGAAGGTACACCAAGGCCAAGCACAATATTCTACTATCAGTAACTTCCTGTTAAGAAAATAAAACACACTCTGAGGGACTTGGGTCTATCTTCAGTGACTAGGACATAGATACAATGAAAATATTCTATAATCAATATACTTAACTCTATTTTCTCGCTTTTAATTTTTAAAAATGTGCTAATTTTCTTTAATTTTCAGCAATAAATGAGTTAACAAACAACTTTTACCTCTCTGGAATGAATCTGAGACTAAACTTGAAAATTATTTCTCTGAATCAATTTTCATTCAAACTTTCATTCCATCAAATTAATTATTCTTAAGGATTATGTAACCTTAAGAATAAAGTTTAAGCACAACAAAGCAATAGTAAAAAAATTATTTCATAAGTACAGAAATTTATCTTATATTTGCCAGTACAATTCTATGATTCATCTTGTAGGAACCATTGTAGGAGCCCCTCCCAGATCTCCTCCATCAGTAAGATGTACCCAACCCCCAGCTGCTCTGAGTATTGGTTACTAACAGATGAGAGCTTGCCCCCTTCACCATAGAATTGCCCTAGGTCCATAATATCTAGATTTCCAGGAATTTCAGAGGTTACATCACCCACACTGCGGGGCAGACTGTAAACAATGAATGACTAATATGTAGGAATAAAAGACTGGCCCCTGGCCTCATGGTGCGACAATTCCATGATGCCATTCACACTTCAGAACTCCTTGTGGGTAAAGGTTGAGTCTCCACTTCCTCAGACATGACATTTTTGCTGAGCTTCTTCTCATGTCCTCTCCTGTGTCTTTCACTTCCTTACAAGTTCTCTCTCCTTAAGTCACTTACACAAGAATCCCTGCCTCAGAAGGGGACAAGGAAGCTGGTGATACGGAACCCAAAGTTGAGTAACGATATTGTTGATGCGTTGTGAGATTGTTAACCATTGTCATAGGGCAACATTTGTAGTAACTGTTAAATGAGAAACTATTTTGTTCTGTAAGCCTTCATCTTAAGTGAGAATAACAGCACAATTGGAAGAGTGTAGTCAATGTCACTGAACTGTGTATGTACAAATTTTTGAAATGGTGTATCTTTGGCTATGTGTATTTTCACCAAAAAAAAAAAAGGTTGAGAAGTTAGAGGGTTAATATGTTGTGGGGTTGTTAACCAATGTCATAAAACAACATGTGTACTACTGTTTCATGAGAAACTATTTGTTCTGTAAGCCTTCACCTGAAGTACAATAAAATATTAAAAAAAAAAAAAAGAATCCCTGCCTCAGGCTCTGCTTCTAAGGAACCTGTCCTAAGACACATATATACTTGATTTTAAAACCAAATACAGATTATTTAATTTTGTGTGAATACTGTTATTCTAACAGGAGCCTAACTTAGTGATACTGCTATATTAGCTCTTATTTAAGTATAAGAAAGTCTGAGTACATGCCTTAAGCTATAAAGTTTAAGAAGGTTCTTCCTAAATAACTTAAATAGTATAGGCTTTAAACTAATCCACAAAGTAGGCTTTGTAAAAACATCTCCTATTTAGAGTACTGAGATTTACCTCAGAAGTGTGTGCTTCAGTATTCAAGTCAAGAAAGGAGAGCTGTCCTTTGTCACTGTGCCCACAGCCCAGCCAGATGCTTGCATTCTTGCTGTTAGGATTTGTAGCCACCATGCATTCAACAGCAAAGTTTTTAGGCAATAAAATATATCTCATCAGGCAGACTAACTCAGCTGAATTCAAAATGTCAAAAACCTGAGAAAGTTTTAAAAAATAACACAACAGCTCACATCAATTTTACCACATTTCTTTTTAAAAGATCATATTATTGTGCATAATGTAGAACATGTTAAATATCAAACAAAACCTAAATTTGTTATTAAGCTGTGACCCATAAATATCATTAAGATTAATAACTCAAACTATACATAAAATTACATTAAAAAACTAAAATTTATTTAAACTGAACGTGATACAAACTCTTTTGTATGTATGGTATATTTTGTGAAAAAGAAAAAGAAACCCCCAAAGTGTCAACTAAACAGAAATTTAGAAGAAACAAAGATGTTTTTCACTCGATTCTTTACTGCATAGCTCAGCACTATTCATTAAGAGCCACATCAAGTGGAAGATAAACATTTCACCCAACAGTTCTGCAGAGCTTCTACCATTTGAAAGGAAAGGCAATTTTAGTTTCTGGTAACAAAATTTAGAAATCACCTCTAGATTCTGCTTGTATGTTTTTCCTTCAAACATTAAAGAAATGGAGAGAGTGTGCAGCGAGCATAAGGAAACAGAACCTGGAGTCAGAGAGCTGGGCTAGAACAGTCATGATACAGTCATTTGTCTGCCACACATGAGACCCTGAGAAAGCTGCTTGTTCTCTTGGTGCCTCATCTGCTGAAGGTAATAATTTTACACATCTTGCCTACTACATACTGAATTTTGAAGATAAAATAGATATGTCAAAGTGTTTTGAATACTGTCAGTTACTACAAAAAAAAATCAAGATTATTATGTACTCTATAAAATCAACAAAGTATAAAAATAAAAACTTTAAAGTTATGGAAATATTCACTGTGATAAAATAAATAACTTCACTGTGACAAAATAAAATAAAAAATAAAGTATAATTAACACTGTGGTAAACTAAATTAAAGAACAAATAGGCCAACTAGCCAAGAAAATTATATAATTTAATGTTTGATAAAGTCTATGTAGATGTACTTGGATATTTTGACCAGCAAATTTGAAGCTGAATGAAATTTTTTCAATGAATTATGATACAAAATCAAGACTTCACAACATAGAGACAGCTCTTATTTTGATACATCAAAATTTGCATCAGTTTAAAACATAGTCAGCGTTCTGTTTCTGATAATACGGTAGAAGAGTTAAAAACAATTTAAAATGTTGAATAAATTATTATTAAAAAGAAACAAACAGAAAAGCAATGTTATAAAAATACTGAAGCTGAGCAGGGCCAAGATGGCGGAGTAGTCAGATGCTTCCTGTGGTCCCTCTTACAACAAAGACCTGAAAAAACAAGTGAATTGATTATATATAACAATCATGGAGCCCTAAACATCAAAGACAAAGTTGAGGAATTGGACTGAGCAGCAGGGGGAGGGAGAGACAGTTCAGAAACAGCGAGGAGTTGCCAGACCTGACCTGGCCAACAACAGCACCCTGTAGGCTGGATCAGCTGGCGTTTCTGGTGAGGCAAGCAGTGGCGCTCGGGACGCATTTCCCACATCAGGAGAGACCAAGTGGTGGAGAGTTTGCTCAAACCTCCAGAACCAGTGACAAACGACACTCAACTGGCAAAAGATAAGTACAAGCATCTAACCTACCACGTGGATCCAAAAAAAAAAAAAAAACACTTTGGGGAGGTATTGCTCTCCCATTTACCTGCCCCCTCCCCACACTGCTCTGGTCCCAGTCGGCTTCACTGATTGCTGTGCCCCCTGGGCCAGAAGTAGGACCCTAGTGCGCCCTGAGCCATTCTCTCGGCTTTGGAGAGGGAACAAATTAACAAAAAGGAGAAAATAATCTGCCAGTTCCCCTAAACCAGGAACTCAGGGCAGACACAGCCCCTTTGTCTAGGCACAGGCATAAGGGGTCCACGGACTCTAAACGCCTTTTACCCCTAAATAAACTTGTGTGGGCCCATTTCAACAGTGTAGGTCCTCATTAGCACAGTATAACAGGGTATATACCTGAAGCCTATTTTCTTCTGTATCTACTATAAGGGAGAGTGGCAGATTCGTGACATTTGACACCACCCTGCCCATTAAGCAGGGTCCTCACCTACCCACATCAGGGACCTGAGGACTGATGGCTCCACCTACTCTACCAAGCCACCCGCAACAGAGGTCCAAGAATAAGTGGTGACTTCCAGTCCTTACAGCCAACAGCATTGGGTGCCCATAATCTGGCTGCAAAACCCACCTACCTATGTGCTCTAGGGAATAAGGACACACCTTCCACCCAGACACTAAGGGGCAGCAGTCAGCCCCCTGCCTCGGATCAGCGCATGACCCCCTACTGCAGCCAGATACCTGTGCCTACTCCAATCACCCCTGCCCATCTAGGACTGTAGGTGAGAGCCTGCACCATACACTCGGTGACTGATGACCTGGACACCTGAGCTGAAACCACACAAGAAGACAAACAGACTCCTGGTCTCACATACCTAGTAACAGATCTAACCACCTGGAGACAGGATGCGAGAGCTTCAAGATGCCAATAATCAAAGCAGCTCACACAACCAGCCTATTTGGGCATATCAAAATGAAACAAACCAAGAAGCTAGGACACAGTAAGCAAACATAAAATAAACAATAGCTTATTGATGGCTCGGAAACAACAGTCAATATCAAATCATAAAGAGGCAGACCATGAAGGCTTCAGCAAGCCACCAAAACAAAGAATCAAGAAACCTTCCAGAGAAGAGAACTTCTTGGAATTACCAGAGGTAGAATTTAAAAATACTGAAGCTCTGACAACACCATAAGGAATTATCAAGCCAAAATCTTAATGAAAGACAGAAATGAGAGAGATCAGTTTCATTCTAAAGCTAGATTTGTCCTGTGGACCTTTGTCTGCCGGAGGGCAAAATTGACGTGTGTTTTGGGAGGCCTTTTGGGGTTGCTGGATGAGAAAAAGTCTAGGGCCTGCTCAAAGTGGAAAGTGTAATAAAGGTCCTGTACCCACAAAGCTGGGATCCCGAAGGGCTGCATAGTCTCAGTAAGTGCAAACCAGAAATAAAGCTGTGCACCTTCAACTGGTCTACAAGGAGTTGCCATAGGACTGTGCAGAGAAAGGAGGTGGAAGGCACAAGAATCCTGAGAAATTGTCATTCATAAGTCTTCTCTCAAAAAGATCTGTTGACCAAATTCACCATCACCTGGCTATTTAAAAAAAAAAAAAAATCTCAATTCAGGAATTGAGTTTAAAGCAATTTGGAGCAAGAAAATCCAGCAAATGATGTACAAGACATGTAGCAGAATTATAAAACTTCATTGACAGACACTTAAGAAAACCTAAATAAAAGGAGAGATAACCCACAATCAAGAATAATAAGTCTGAATATCATAAGGATATAATCTTCCCCAAAGTGTCTACAGATTCAACAAAAGTCCACCCAAAGCATAATAAGGTTTTTTCATAATATTTGACAAACTGATTTCAAAATTTACAGGGAAGAACTAAGCCCAAGAATAGCCAAAACACTCCTAGTGAAGAAAAAATAAGAGGGGAGGTGGGACTATTACAAAGTTACAGGCATTAAGACAATGTATTATTGAAGGAATGATAGATAAACTGACCAACAGAACAGAAAAGGTGTTGGTGTGAGTGTGTGTATCTTTGATAAATTATAGAGTGGGCATGGCACAGCAATGGAAAAAAGGAGAAACTATTTAATAAATAAAGCTGGAAGAACAAGTTATCCATCTGGAAAAAATGAAATTGAATCTAGATACAAATGTCAATTCCCTATGGATTAAGATCTTGAATGTCAAAAGTAAAACTAAATTTTTTTTAAGAAACCATAAGTAAATATTTTTGTGACTCTTGGGTAGAGAAGAACTTCTTAAGACAAATCCAAAAAGTAATAACCATAAAAAAGGATTTTAAATTTGTCTACATTAAAATTAAGAAATCTTGTTCATCAAAATACACCCTATACAAAATAAAAAGGTAAGCAAAAAACTGGGAAAAGAAATTTGTAACATATATAACCAACAAAGGGTTAGTATGAGATATATAAAGAATGTCTTTATCTTGTTTGATTTGTAGGCAAATAACCCAAGAGAAAAACAGGCAAAATAATGAACGGGCATTTTGTAGAACAGGAAACATAGTCAATCAACATAAAAGACATGCTCAGCCTTATTAGTAATTTGTAATGTAAATTGATGCAGTTGAATTATGGTGTTGGTGAAGAATATTGAAAACACCACGGACCACCAGAAGAACAAACAAATCTGTCTTGGAAGATGTACAGCCAGAATGCTCCTTAGAAGGGAGGATGGTGAGGCTTCATCTCATGCGCTTTGGACATGTTATCAGGAGGGACCAGTCCCTGGAGAAGGACATCATGCTTGGTAAAGTAGAGGGTCAGCAAAAAAGAAGAACCTCGATGAGACGGATTGACACAATGGTTGCAATAATGGGCTTAAACATAGCAACAATCATGAGGATGGCACAGGACCGAGCAGCATTTCATTCTGTTGTACATGGGGTTGCTATGAGTCGGAACTGACTTGATGGCACCTAACAACAACAACAACAAATCAAGACAACAAGACTTTAGACCTAATTATAAAAATTAAGAAGTTTGATAATATCTAAATTTAGGGAGACTATATATAGCAATAGCTACCTTAATATACAGCTGGTGGGACCGGTACAACTTCAGAAAACCATCTGGATACTCAAATGACAGAGCAATTCCACTCCTTGGTATATATTCCAAAGAAATTTTAATACAATTTGCACCAGGAGACATGTACATAGCACCACTGTTTATAACAGCAAAAAAGCTGATAACAATACCAATGCACAAGGACATGAAAATGGATAAATACATTGTAGATCACTGAAAAAGTAGAATATAATAGTAGTGAAAATAATCACCAGCTATATTCAGCATGAATGAAGCTTACAAAATAAGGTTGGGAGGAAAAATGGAAAATCTCAGAACACTAAATGAGTATGATTCAATTTAAATAAATCATGAATACAGGAAAACCAAACTATAAAGCAAAGCAAAGCAATGATTATCACAGTGAGGAGAGTGGTTACATCTACAGAAAGGAGGATAAGGATGACTCATTCAGGAAGAGGCATATGAGGGCTTTCGAATATTGGCAATGTTCTTGCCTTATAAACATTTTAAAGCTATTACAGTTATGTCTATGTATACATCTGTAGCATATATTAATACATTGTGACTGTAAGAATACCTTGGCAGAAGTAGGCCTTTCTTGAGGATTTTCCTTCAAACATTTTTTAATTAACTTCTCAACCATAGGCCATGGAGCACAACCATATTCTTTAACTGGGTCTAAAACATTAAAAACATATCATGTTAGTTCATAAAGAAAAGAAAACAATTATTTTATTTCTTCTTAATGTATATTAGAAGTCTAAACATTGCAAAGGAAGTGATTCCCATAATCCTATAATCTTATATTTATTCTGAATTTACTTATCATAAATGTAAAGCTAATTTATTAACTTTATCTCCACTGGAGACATCAAAAAAAAAAATCTTGAATTTTATGGGATAAAAAGAGACTCAAGTATCAATTAAATAAATAGATATTTATTCCATAACTGTATTTCAAATTTACCCATATAATAATTAAGCTTCTATGTAAATAATTTTTATTTTAATACTCAGCATAGGCAAGGACTTAATCCTCACATCCCCACAGTTAGTTTGTGTACATTTACTTTCTATAAGAAGTATGCTACTCTTCACGGAGCCCTGGTGGCACCGGTGGTTAAGCATTCAGCTGCTAACCAAAAGGTTGGCAGTTCAAATTTACCAGCCGCTTCTTGGAAACCCCATGAGGGGAGTTCTACTCTGTCTTATAGGGTTGCTATGAGTTGTAATCGACTCGACAGCACGGGATACTATTCTTCTGGCTGGTATAGACTAGAGACCTGGATACTTCCACTAGAAAGCTAATTAGCAAAGTAAGGGAGATGACCCAGCTTGCATCTGAGAAATATCCAATAATAATGTACTTCCTTCTTGTAGAATCTTTAAGCACCAGCCCCCACACCCAAAGGAGATAGTTAAAGCTATATTCTCTGTACTGGCACATAGTATAAACTCATAAATGTTTCTTAAACGGAAGGAAAACAGAAAATATGCAAAACGGCTAAATAAATTTAAAGGGACACTTTGTAGTAGGAACTGAAATAAAAGTCAAGGAAAGAATAACAATGTCTTAGAATTTCTTAAAAGCATGAGACAACTATTAAAATGAAATTTGATCTCATTAAATTCTCATTTACCAATTCTTCTTAATATTTACTACTAGAGAACATTATTATAAATAATTCAAGCTTCCATTCCCGCATACAAATTATTTCACTCCAAGAAAATGAAACCACTCCAGGCTAGTGGATCCATAGTTAACTCTTTATGAGAACTAGAAGTCGCCAAATCAGGGGTTCTGAGAGTAATTTACTTTTTTGAGCATATTTCTAAATTTAATACCCAAAATATCAACATAAATTTAATTTGGGATTTAAAAAAAAAAAAAAACAGTCTAAGAGCTACCTTTTTCAAATGAATCTTATTCTTATTAATGTGTCACAGAATTTAGGGATATTTCATATACCAACCAAAAAATTTCCAAATGTGAAATAAAATATACAACTACAATTAAATAACTTGGAAACAAAGCTGCTGATGTTAATAGATAAAGTAGAACTTACCTGGTAATTTTCCTTGTATTGCCAATTCATCAAATTCATTTGGAAACTTCAAACCTTCTACTATTCTATCTCCAGTTGTCAAAATGTCATAGAGTAGTAAACCAAATGAATAAACATCAGCTTGTTGGTTATAAATAACATTTCCTTTGGCCACTTCAGGTGCACGAAACCCTGAAAGTAATCAGATATGTTAATAAAATACACAACACAGGGCCCAGAAGGAGGTATGCAGTCAAGGAGGAATATACGTAAGTATATACACCTAAGAAGAAACTCAGGGACATGAATTAAAATCCAGGCCACGTCATGTATATGATGAGACACTTTGACCAAGTCAATTAACTGTCTCAGGACCATTTACCTGAAGGTCTATTTTAAAGAATAATAAGGATAAACATTCAATAATACATTAGTAAATTGCTGATGTTGTGCACCATCGAGTCCATTCTGACTCATATGACGGAGCAGAACCACACCATAGGGTTCCCTAGGCTGTAATCTTTATGGGAGAAATCACCAGGTCTTTTCTTCTGTGGCACCACTGGTAGGTTTGACTTGCCAACTTTCAGTTAGCAGCCCAGAACTTAATCGTTGCAACACCAACATTTCATAATCAAAAAAAAAAAAAATGAAGCCTTACAGGAAAAAATAATCTATGTCATTTTTCTCATTTCTAATAATACTTTCAGAGTAGTGTTTTAAACAGAGAAGAGTCAGGAGGGAGGAAATTTCTGGACTTAACTTCAAGTCACTCTTACTTGACTAAAATTCTAATGCTGTCATTATTTCAATAACTTGTGTCTCTGCACCTTCTATCCACTGGGGGGAAGAATATCAAAACCACAGCTAAAACAAAAACCCTCTCTCTCAGATGTTGGTTCATGTCTGAAATTCATTCAAAGGGAAATGAAACCTTCCATTCCATAATAGAGATAAATTGTCTTTAAAATCTTCAGAAAAATTGGGTATTTTCAACATTATTCATAGTAGTAAAAATATAAGCAATATAAAGAAATCCAGACATAGAACAAAAATGGTTGAATAATATACAAGATGCAGTCATTTAAAAATCATTTGCAAAATGGTACGCTATAATTTAAATAAAGAAGAACTCAATATATATTAATTCTGAATAGACTGAAAGTTATCACATTTGTGAAGAAAATCAACTGAATTAATTTTCTTGGCTGTGATAATAGTATTGTGGTTATGTAAAAGAACACATTTATTCTAAGAAATACATGCCAATATGTTTAGGGATGAAGTATCATCATGTCTTCAACTTAATTTCAAAAGATACATATTCATATACAAACAGCAAGAGTGAGAGAAAGAGAACAAGTGTGGCAAAAAGTAATCAATGACTGTATATGGCAGGTACATAGGTGTCTACTGTAGTATTCTTTCAACTTTTCAGTAGGTTTAAATATTTTTAAAAAATAAAAAGTTTTAATGGAAAGTTGCATAATTAAAGAGTAGAAAGAAATAAATCTAAATGCAATAATGGTTGTAATGGTGAAGGTTATGTGTCAGCTTGGCTGGGCCATGATTCTCAGCAGTTTGGCAGCTACATAATAATGTAGTATAGCAGTTATGTAATGATGTAATCATCTTCCATGATGTAGCTGATGTAATGAGCCAATCAGCTGTAAGGGGCGTTTCCTCGGGGGTGTGGCCTGTATCCAATGTATGTATGGATGTTCTGGCAAAGTTCAATTGCTTGCTCTGGGTCCTGCATCTGGCTCGTTCTCATCTGACCTCTGGTTCTTGGGACTTGAGCCAGTGGCCTACCATATTGCCTGCCGATCTTGGGATTCATTGGCCTCTGCAGCCTGTGAGCCAGCAGACTGCCGTCTCACCTGCTGATCTTAGGTTTGTCAGCCTCTGCAGCCTGTGAGCCAGCAGCTGCCATCTAGCTGCCACTCTTGGGTTCGTTAGCCCCTGCAACTACATGAGTCAGGAGAAGCCTTCAGCCTGACACCTGACCCACAGACTTGGGACTTGCCAGCCTCTACAATCACATGAGTCCTTTCATTGAGATAAATCTCTCTCTCTGTCTTTCTGTCTGTCTCTCTCTCATGCTTGTCATGGATTGAATAGTGTTACCCAAAAATATGCGTCAACTTGGCTAGGCCATGATTCCCCGTATTGTGTGGCTGACCACCATTTTGTGATCTGATATATTTACCCTATGTGTTGTAAATTCTAACCTCTATGATGTTAATGAGGCAGGATTAGAGGTCGTTATGATAATGAGGCAGGATACAATCTATAGAATTATGTTGTATTTTAAGTCAATCTTTTTTGAGATATAAAAGAGGAAAAGGAGCAGAGAGGAGGGGAACTTCATACCACCAAGAAAGAAGCACCAAGAGTGGAGCGTGTCCTTTGGACCTGGGGTCTCTGCATTGAGACGCAACTAGACCAGGGGAAGATTGATGACAATGACTTTCCCCGAAAACTGACAGAGAGCGAACACCTTCCCTAGGAGCCGGGCCCTGATTTTGGACTTCTAACCTCCTAAACTGTGAGAGAATAAATTTCTGTTTGTTAAAGCCATCCACTTGTGGTATTTCTGTTGTACCAGCAATAGATAGCTAAGATAACGTTTCACTGGTTTTGCTTCTCTGAAGAACCCAGCCTAAGACAATGATTATTTCCATATGCTAAAATTACGGGGTTTCTTGGGGGGTTGCTATGAGTCAGAATCGACTCCACAGCAACCAGTAAGTAAGTAAAATTATGGGTAATTTTTCTTTACTTTTTTTACTTCCAAATTTTGTAGAATTAGCATATATGATTGCTACAGTAATTTAAATGTGCAACCAGGAAAATATAACAAAGTATGAATTCATAACTTTCAAAGTGTAAATGATTAAATCTGGAAATAGTTCTTTATGACAGAGAGTATACCAGCAAAAGATGAAGTTCAGGCCAGAAGGACGTGCAGAGTTGAGGATACCCTCGCTCACTGCTGCTGAGTCAGTTTCAACTCAAAGCGACCCTAAAGGACACAGTAGAACTGTCCTATAGGGTTTCTAAGGCTGTTATCTTTATGGGAGCAGACTGCCATATCTTTCTCCTGGAGAGTGACTGGTGAGTTCGAACCACCGACCTTTGCTTTAACAACTGCACCACCAGTGCTACTTTGAGTTGAGGATAGAGATGTCAAATTTGAGGACAATAACTCCTACTGTGCCAACTGTGAACATTCCCTAGTTGTTAACATTTTGCCACATTTGTGTAATTTCTCTGCATACACACACACTCACACAGTCACTGTTACTGTTTTCCCACATTTGTTTATCAGTCTGTCTAACTATCATACTTTATTTTGCTGAAACATTTGAAATTAGGTTTAAAAAAAAAGCAGGTGCCATCAAGTCATGTAACTCATTTTGACCCTATGTGTGACCTGATGTGCTCCATAGGGTTTCAGTGGCTGAGTTATTGGAAGTAGATCACCAAGTCTTTCTTCCAACATGCCTCTGGGTGAACTCAAACCTCAGCCTTTCGGTTAGTAGCTGAGTGTGTTAACTGTTTGCACCACTGAGGGACTTCAAAATTATGTTACAGATGTGATATTTCAGTCCTAAATATACCATGCATTTCCTTAGAATAAGGACATTTTCCTACATAACCACAATACCATTCTCACATACCACTTTAAAGAATTGTGAATGTAATTAAGTTAGTTCTAAAACAGATCCCTAGTTAAGTGTATCTGACATAATGTAAACATATCACAAAAGCTCCTAATTCATGTTGCTATAACATTTTACAGAATACCTTCTTGAACATCTCACTTGATGTGCACAAGTACCACCTGAATTAGGCAGAGGAGAACTTTCCATTTTATAAATTATATAATTCAATCAGATATGTTTCATGTTTGCCTAAAGCCAAACAGATAATGAATGGAAGGTCAAAAGTATTTAAAAATACTCTTAGTTCCAAAGAGAGGCATGCTCCCACCTACTGATGAGCTACCCACACATTAACCAGCTCATTAACAATATTTATGCTTGCCTTTTTAGAATTCAAAAGGTCTTTTGGATGCTGATTTTAATCTTGTCAGTTATTTATTATCCATTCAACAAATTTATTGGGTACCTATTATTTCAAGGCACTATTCAAGGACTATTAAAATGTTAAATGTATTTTTCTCTTGATAAATTCACTGTTACAAACACAGGATTTGGAAATGCAAGATCTTAGAGCAGGAAGAGATTTGAGGGGTCACTTAGTCTAAATTCTCATCCAGTGCACAAATTGTTTTACAATAGTTTTTATTTCTCTAGGCATCAATCCACAGATCTCAGAACTGCACACAAGGTTGAATTCATTTCACAGTAAGTCAGAGAAAGCCAAGAAAGATAATTCTGAGGATAAGGAAATGAATATTTACTTCAATACGAAATTTTTTTTTTAACTATCTTCCCCTTTTTCAAATAAATGTCTTCACTGACAAAACGTAAACATGAGAACATAGTAGGATTTTTTGTTTTATTCAGGAGGTACTTCAATTATATAATTCACTTATAAATGCTTCTTTGAATTTATCCCATGAATTTCTAGTGTTCTTGATATTCCATTTAAGTGGGATCATACAATATCTGTCCTTTGTGTCTTGCTTATTTCACTTAATTTTTCCAAGGTTTACGCATGTCGTAGTATGTATTTTTTAATAAAATATTATGTAACTATTAAAAGTGATATTTACCACAATGAGATACCACTTTACACCCAATAGGATGGCTACTATAAAAAAAAATGGAAAATAACACATGTTGGAAAGGATGTGCAAAAATTGGAACCCTTGTGCACTACTGGTAGGAATTAAAATGCTGCAGCTGTTGTGGAAAACAGTTTAGCTGTTCCTCAAAAAGTTAAACATAGAATTACCATATGACTCACCAATTCCACTCCTGAGCATACATCCACAAGACCTGAAAGCAGGCACTCAAGTAGATACTTGTACACCAGTGCTCATGGCAGCATTAATCACAACAGCAAAGAGGTAGAAACAACCCAAATGCCCATCAACAGATGAAAGGATAAATAAAATGTGGTATGTACACACAATAGAATATTATTCAGTCATAAAAAGAATGAAATTTTAATATATATTACCGTATGAATGAACCTTGAAAACATTAAGCTAAATGAAA